CTGAGCTATCTGGCTGGCTCCAAAGTGCTTAACTTCTGATGGCAGAGGTGACAATACAGTAGTTGGTGCTCTCTCAAGGCACCATGGAGATCTTACACATTGGAAGGCATCACTTACATGGGCTCAGGCTGTGCTGTTTCCCGGTCAGTACCCAGCACCCCACACATTGACTTGACACTTGACAGACTGCTGATGTTCAGGGACTTAGGGGGCGGGGGCAGGTACTGGGATTGAATCCAGGACTTTTGCACTGAGCTACATCTCAAGCCCTTTTGACGTTTTTTATTTTGAAACAGTCTTGCTAAGTTGCTGAATTGGCCAGTTTGGACTTGAATATTTGATCTTTTTGCCTCAGCCTCCTAGAGTGTTGGGATTATGGGTACACAGCATAGTGCCCAGCTAGGTTGACTACTAGGCATTATTTGCTTTCTGTGTGTCTCCTTTTTTCTGTACTTCATCTTGCCCTGCAACATGTTAACAAGAAAAGTAGTCTCCTGGGCTTGTTAAGGCAGACCCTGCGGCGGGCTGAGAGCCTGGTAAAGCCATAAGGTCAGAGAGATTTACAGCGCCCCCGCTAATGACCTACATGTCAGCTCCTCCTCTTTCCCACACTGCGCATCCAGATCTTTGCTTTTACCTTAAGGCCACCACTCCAATACCTTCTTTGCTGCCATTTCTGGCTATCTCCTGCCCTCACCATCTCCGCAGAAGTGTTACTTTCTATATTACAGAGAAACTAGAAACAAGGCATACAATCCAAACTTTCTGTCCCCTTCCAAACAACACGCATCTGCAGCCATTGTTCTCATTCTTGTGGAAGACACCCTTTCCACCTCAGTCAAGGGTGATCTTTCTACCTGGGTCCTGGCCGCATCCCCTTTTCCTCCTGAAGACAAACATTCATCACTAATTGTGAACCCCTGGTATCGTATTCAGCTGCTTGCTTAATATCTCAACTTTGATGGTTAATATGTGTCTCATAGAACAGGGTCACATATGAGCTTTTTCCAATTGCTTAGGCCTAAAAACTAACCTTGCTATCATCTTTGATATTTCTTTTTCTCTCATATTTCATAGTAGATCTTGGTATTTTTTTAATGTATATCTACAACTGTGGTTTCTAATGTGACCTGAGCTATATGTTTTATCTCATCTGGATTATCAGTAGCCTTCCAAATAATCACTCTGCTTGCTTGCTTGCTTGCTTCCTTCCTTCCTTCCTCCCTCCCTGTCTCCCTTTCTTCCTTGCCCCCTACACTGTATTCTCAACACCTGGAGTGATCTTCTTAAAACTACAGATTGTGACCAACTTTCTGCACAAAATCATCCGTATGTGTCTCATCTCATTGAGTCTAAAGCCACCTCTTAGTGGATGACAAGGTCCTGTGTGAATTGGTACCCGCTGTCTCTTGGGCTGCATCTTTAGCTATTTTTTCCTCATTCCCACAGCTCTAGCACACTGGACTCCTGGCTTCTAATTCTGCAAGTCATGGCGACCCCTTCTTCAGGCATAGAACAGTATCAGGGGTCTCTCTAGGGTCACCTCAACACGTAGATGGAGAGTGTCACAAGTTACACATGACACCAGAATCACTCAGGAAGAGACTGTACTGGAGCCACACCTTGCCAACAAGGCAGCATTGGGTTTTCCACTGTGCAAAAATCTTCAGAGCTGTCCTTGCTGGCATCTACACCACTGCTCAGAGCGTCTTTTCTTACATACATCTTCCTGTAGCATCCCAAGTGCAAGGAAAGATGCACCTTACGCAGTCTCAGGATCCACCATGGCCAACACCTTTCATGTGTCACAGCTCATGCCTAGTTACAAGTACTACCACAATCAGGAATCCAATAATAGGGTTCCTGCCAGGCATTTAACCATCTCCCAGCCTAGCTACAGCTGACCAATGAGCGGTCATTAATGCCTTTAGCATGTTGCCTGGTAACACAGTGAACATTCTGCCTTTTTCAAATCTCCAGGGAAACAGAGCTAGATAGCTGGAATTTTGTAGAGAAAGTAAAGTGCTGCAGAGCATGAGGGCTCCACTGTCTCTGTCTCTGTGCCCCTTGCTCTTGCTGCCTGGATAGCTCATTCCAGGACATTGGTACGGCCTACTCCTGTGTCTCTTTCAATTGCTTGGCCAAAAATCCTAACTCCTGACCCTCCTGCAGAGCCCTCCTAGCACCCTTGCATGCTTTTTCCTTTTTTCCAATGCCCCATCACATTCGAACATATTACAATAGATTTATTCATGATTTCTCTGATCTTAGTTACTCATGGTCAACTGTGGCTAAAAATACTCAATGAAAAATTCCAGAAAGAAACAATTCATAAATTCATAAATTGCCTGCCATTTCAAGTAGTGTGATGTTAGTCACCTGGTATCCATCCTGGTTATGCGTTGACTATGTCTCAGTTCTTAGATTCAAATAAACTTTATGTTAACAATGACCTCCAAGTACAACACTAGTGATACTGGAAATTCACTTAAAGTGCTTCCCCTAAGTGAAAAAGTGGAAGTCATCACTTAATGAGAGAAAACGTTACACAGTGAGGTTGCTAAGAGTCATGGTAAGAACACATAGAGAAAAACATAGGTTTGGTACTATTCCCAGTTTCAGGTACCCACTAGGCATCTTGGAACATATTCTCAGGGGATTATTGTATGTAATTTACTACTGGGGGTCCTCAGCTCATTTAATGATTAAGTTCTGTTCCTGTGAACAGGTCATTAAGTGAACTGGTCACTAAATGAGGAATTGTGTACAGCATGTACATTACAGGACAGAAGCAGAAGCCACATGCTGAGGACCCAGGTTCCTGCAGCCTAAGACTGTACGCTGTACCTCTGTCGTTAAGTCCACAGCCTAAGACTGCACAGTGCACTTCCATCCCTCCCTCGTAAGTCTGGATGGTCATTAGGTAGGTAGGTCCTTAAAGGAGAAATGTATGTAATTCATTTTGCTTAATTTAATTGCTCCCTTTTCATGGAATTTAAGCTCAACAAGGCTGGGATTTTTTTTTTTTTTTTTTTTTTTTTAATGTTTTTCCTTCATTCTTGGTAGAATATTCCTGGCGCAAAGTAGGTTCTTCAACAAACTCTTGTTTTAGGCGTGAGTGAAGGAAAGCTTTTCCTCTCTTTTAGATCCTAGCTTCTCGCCTGTACCGTTTCTTGGGGGGGGGGGGCTGGAAAGGGGATAAAATGTGTTCAGTTAAATAAAAGGCACTAAACTGTATAGTGTTAGGGATTGATAAGCACTTTGGATCCAAATTGCTGCGTGTGAATACAGGCTTGCTACCACCTTGGGAGGTTTCTTCCTAACCTCTTTGTGCCTCTCTGGTGTCATCTGTAAATGGGGTTAATGGTAGCGCCCATACCCTAGTGTTGCCATAACAGGAAAATGAGTCACAGGTGCGTAACATGCCCAGAAGGCTGCCTGACACAAGGAAGCAGTATGAGTTAGCCATGATTAGTATCCATTTTAAAAGGCCTTTCCTTCCACGCTGAACCACTGCTAGCTATTTTCCTCTCTCTCAACCTCCTCTTTGAGTTGGGATCTTTTTGACAGCCCAAGCTACCCAGCAGCCTCTGTCCCCTTTAACTCGCACCCACTCGTTCAATCGCTGAAACTAGTATTCAAAGGGACCACAAGCGACGTCTTTCTCTGTGAGTTCATTGAGAACCGCCTGCGATCACGGACTACCCCTCCTTTGGCTGATGACGCGTTCTTCCCTCCTGGTTCCCACGTTTTCATGGCTGTCCTTTCCCAGGCCACCTCAGAAGCTCCCGCCTCCTCCACACACTCCTGTGTTGTTCCCGCCATGTTTCCCTCATGCTTCCATTCACAGGCACAGTGCTGAGACTCTTACAAGCGAGCCCAATCCGTCCTACTTTGAGTTTCCCAAAAATGCTGTGTTCCTTTGCATCCCTGCGACTTGTAGTCTTCCCTTTCCTCTTTTAGGACCTTCTCCCACTCCCAGTTCTGCTCCCAGACTGGCTTGAGCTGTTTCTCCGAGTTTTCAGGTAAAGCTTGTTCCCAAGATCAGCCAAGCACCCTTCCTCAGTCCCCTCCTCCTGCTGTGTGGCAGCCCGTATCACAGGGTGACATGGCGTCCTCTGCTCGCTGCTGCACCTAGTTCCTCCCCAGACACGAGCTACTTATAGTTGTCTATGTCCTCTATTCATAGTGTCTGGCACACAGCAGTGTGCAGAGTGCACCTGGATTCACGTACTGATACAAAGAGTCTACATGGGATCAGTATGTGAATGCACAACAAATAGAGTCCACCAATTACATACACATTTTTTTTTCAGCAGCTCGTTTTACTATTACATGTCTGGAAGCTATGGTTACCATTCTGAGCATCTCTTATAATTGTAGAGGCCCAAGGTAACTTGTATTACTCTCAGGGTATCTCAATAAATTTAGAATTAGAATATTTATACAAGTTTTCTTTTCCTGATGTTCACAATTTTGTTTGTATACTTTTTTTTTTTTTTTTTTTTCAGACTCTCTCTCTAGGATTCAGCATGCAAACACATAATGTCCACGTACAACACATTTTGACTGAGTTCCATTTTACTTCAGAACTAAATATTGGGCAAAATAATGCTATGTCACTGAAGTATGAATTCTTCCAGAAAACCTTATGAGGCTTAAGTGTAAGAGATGAAGAAAAGCAAAGGTGCCATTTGGCTTTGTGTCGGTATTTCACTGTGGAGCCCACTCTGAAAGATAAGACCCCGTGATGGCGGCCCTCACTTGACATCAGTCAACTGTAGCTGGGCTCATTGAAATCTTATAAGTAGCATATTTACCTTATTAGGAGAGTTTAGTAATTGTTTCAGGCTCCCTGCCATGATTACAAAAGACATACACAAAAGGAGTAGAGCAACTAATATTTACACTGTTAAAAATCACTCAATGGGCTCTTTAAGTAGTCTCCCTGGCGCGGCGTCCTGCTCTGGCCCCACCTCGCCTTGGCTCGAGGTGCCTACCTGCAAAGTGCATCCGAACACACCGATCATCAGCATGGCCACGGACAGGTAATCCGTAAACACGTCCCACCATGGCTTCAGCACCCGGAAGGCAGGCTGCTGCTCAGAGAACTGCCGGAATTCTGTTACTGGAATCATGTTTCTGCGAAAAGAGAAACTGCTGGTGAAGTAATCTATCTTTAGGTACACTGCTACCAGCATGGAAACAGGGCTTCCACCTTTTAGACCAGAGGCCTGCCTGAGTGCAAGAGTTGCCCAGAGGTGCTTCCGTTTCCGCAAGACACTGAATAAAGCCACGCGTGGAGGGAAATGAGGAGACCCGCGCGGAACGGGCGGGAGCTCGTCGTGAGTTACTGCCTGGCAGCAGGCTCCTGCTGTGCTCCCGGGGGACAGAGGGACTGTGGCCAGGCGCGGATGATTTCTCACACCCTGGGTTCCTTCAAACAGAACAGGAAGATGTCAGCAAGAAAGCAGCCCCTTCTTTGAAACGTTCTATTTCTCTTACCTGCTTGGATTAATGGTTTAAATTACGGTGACATGTCATTCCAGGATGCATTTGAGTTCATTCTTCAGGGAGCCTTATTTGTAAGGCATTTTGCTTACTCCTCAGGGAAGGGAAGCCATGTTGCTACATGGCCTTGGTTTTCCAAAAGAGAAACCTCATTGGTGACAGTGGGTGAGGGAGGACCATTTTCTCTCTGCTCGCCCTTCTCTGCTGTCTCTGTGATTCTGTTTTCATTTCTTTTTTTTCTATTTCTTTTCTTATTTCACTATGAACCTTACACTTGCCCGAATTTGCTTCTTTGAGAAATGAGTCTGGCCTAAGAACCTGATATGGTTGGACTTTTGTCCCTGAAAGACCCATGCATTAAAGGGTTGGCCACCAGTCTATGGCCCTCTTGGGCAGCAGTGGACCTTTAAGAGATGGGCCTGGTGTAAGGGAGATCACAAGGGTGTGCTGCTGAGTGGGATATGGGGACCCCAGCCTTCGTTTCTGTGTCCAGCCACCATGAGGTGAGCAGGGAGCCTCCACCATGCATTCCTACCACTGCATTCCTTGCCTCAGGACCAAAGGCAATGGCCAGCTGACCAGGGCCTGAAAGCTCCAAAACTATGAAGTGAAATAAACCATTCCTTTTTTAAAGTTGACTTACCTCAGGCATCATTCCTGTGATGTCTAGCACAAGACTCTTATCGAAATGACAGACGCCGAGCAAAGGATGTGCACCTAAGGCTGTGTAAAGAGGGAAGAGGAGGCATGTCCTTTTTCTTAGTCTGAATTTTCCTCTCACTACCTTTATTGTGCCCCAGGATTTGTGTTAATCACCCTCTTCTGTGAGAAGAAATGTTTTCTCCTTATGTTACGGCAAGAAATAAGGTGCCTAATGAGGGTCAAAATGAAAACCTTTCTCCCGCCTGCCTTCTTTGGGTCTCATAATCTAGCTCTTCACATCTGTCTTCTTACCTAATCCTAATGAAAAGTGCAAGCGAAAGGCCATACTTGCTGCTCCATCTCCTAAATCTTGCTTGTTTCATAGATTTTCCTTCCTAATACCAAATTAATGACTATAGAGTAAATACTCCAGAGAGGGATCTCACGCTCTTCTTCAAATTTATTGGTGGTTATAACTTCGGAAGATGTTATTAATTGTCTTACGGCTTCAAGCCTTTTTTAAAAAAAATTCATTTTCATTTTGTTATTTAGGAATGTTTACAATTTCAGCAGCCAGGAGATACACTCACCTGCAATCTATCTAGAGGACATCTGGGCAATGTTTGTTTGTTTTTTTTTCATTTTAATAAATGGAGCTCCATTCTGTTACTGCCCCTAGGCTTCAGAGTTTTTCAGAGTAGAGCATTTGTGTCACACATATGTGTGTCTTTAAAACATACATTGCAGGTGAACCACAGAAGCTACATAAATCATTTCTACTGTCATTAAAATTTCAGGCCTACTGTCATTAAAATTTCAGACAGCTCACAGTTGATTTTTCCTGATACCTTATGGCCTCATTTCTTTATGAATCTTGACAGCCTCAGTGCCCCAGATGTGCCCAGCCAGGTGTTTCTGTGATAATCAGAGTCGGGCACTAATTCTTCATAACTTCTAAGTGCTGCTTGGAAGCTATTGCCTTACTCTATTTTGCATCCCCATCACTCTCCACAGAGCCCAGAAAACAACAGGACCCAAGCAACTGCTTGTTGAATAAATCAATCCAAGTTCATAGGCGAATGTAGGCAATCGCTCACGGAGCAGTGCTCATTCAACTCAGATTTGGGGTGACCCTAATCAGCCGCAGTGACAGCGATGACAGTCTACTGTTTTGGGTAGACTGGATCTCTGTCTCTTTCACATATTTCTTTATAGCTTGAGGGATCTGGGTATACCCGTTTAGGCAGAGGACAGGTTCAAGAAGAAAGTGCACCTAGCAGAACAATGGTTTGCAGACTCTGCTTTCAGAACTCCTGCATACTCTAAGCACAATGAGAACACCACAGCCTGTGTTAATGCTGTTACCCCATCAACAATTTCACGTTAGAAACTGAAACCAAGAAATGTTGAAAACACACATTAATTCATTAAGAAAAGAACTCATTTCATGCTAATGACTATCATTAGGAAAATATATTTTAGAAGCACAAAAATCAGTGAGAAAAACGACACTGTTTTACATTTTTATGAATCTCCTCAATACTGGCTCAGTGTAAAGACACTGGGATTTTCAGGAAGCGTCTATATTCAATATATTGTGGTAGGTTGTTTGGGTGAAAAATGTAAGTTAAACAAAGATATATGGTTAGAAATGTGTCTTTTTTAAAATTTCATTTATTTATTTATGTGTGTGTGTGTGTGTGTGTGTGTGTGTGTGTGTGTGTATGTGTGTGTGTGGTCAGCTCAGCCCACCAGGGGGCAGGGCTGGCTGGCATGTGGTGCTGGGGATTGAACTGCGGTCCCTGTGCTTTGCTAAGTTTGTTCCAAGTAGGTGCTTTAGACCACTGAGCCATCTCACCAGCCCAGAAATGTGTCTTAATAGCTTTTTCATGTCATTGTGGATATTCATTCTTTGAGACTAGTTTTTTTGAGACTAGAATTTTTACTAGTTTACTTTCAACGTGAAATCTGGAATATCAGCAAGCTTTCAAATTCTTATTAAAACTCATTTGTCTTGAACTCTCAAGGTGTTTGTTATCCATGCGTAGTTTTGTAACATCATTCATTGGTGACTTGGGAAAAACAAAGGTCACTGAGTTATGATATATTTTAAGTACCAACATTACAAACGAGAAAATCTCAAGTTCATTAATATTACTACTACTATCATTAAAAAAAAATTTAAGCACTGGAAAGCTGTCAAGTTCATGGTGGAGGATATAAAATTTCCAAAATTCGAATTATTGCTTGAAAAGCAAAACCTTGTCACTGGTAACAAATATTCACTATTCTTGAAGCTCAGGATCACTTTATTCATAGTAAGCCACAAACCTAAGTCTCAGCTTCAGCTGTTTTATTCACATAAGAGTACTGTTACATAATGAAGCAGATAATTTAACTTTCAACTCAAATATCACACAAGGCTTTCCCTTGAGATCCCACTATGTTTTTGAATGCAGAAGCATTGCTCTGTGTGTTTTTCCCATTTCACTATCACATTGTGTGTTAAAACAACACATAGTCAGGGATTGACAATTACTAAAACAATAATTTTTACTGCTTCAAGAAGGACATTAAGTGAAGCCTACTTTTAATAAAATGTAAACATCTACTCAGGAACATAATCCCTTAATATAATCTGCTGCTTCAAGCTTCATTCACGCAAAGGCATTTTACCCACCATAGATTCACACTCTTGATGAAAAGGCAAAAGAAAGCATTTAATATTTTGACCTTGTCAAGCCCTTAAACGTCTAGGTTCCAGGCACAGCAACGTACACCTGCACATTCCAGCACTTGAGAGACCAAGGCAGGCTGCTAGGGAGTTTGAAGGAGCCTGAGCTATATAGCAAGTCCCACAAATAAAAATCCCAAAACCAAACACAAACAAACAACCCCTCCCCCTCTAAACAAAAGGTCTAGGCTAGCAGGGTCCCATTCTCTACACTTTGAGAACCACCTAGGCAGAGATTTACTGCATTATACATACAGACTTCTGGGCTTTAATGTATGTCAAAGCTCCACGCTGCCATCCAGCACAGCATCAAATCTTACAATATTTTTGATACAAAAAAGGGAATAAAGAAGAGTTAAATAAAAATCTTCCAACTAAAGGGAGAGTAGATGCACCTTGCTTGCTTAACTGAAGCCTATGTATTTCTTTCTTTATACCTTTCAGCACCTTTGAATAGTCATGCATTGCAGTGGCAACTACTCCTTAGTTCTCTTTCATCATCACCGTCATTTTCAAGCTACTTGTGACAATTTCAAGAGTTCTCAATACAAGCTAAGGGAGCTGCCTCAATAAACGGTTGGCTCTACATATTAGGAGGCATGATCAATCAGGGTAATTATATTTTCACTCAAGTATTTTCAAATTCTAAAATGTAAATGATTACCTTTATACTTTTCCAACCCTGTTTTTTTTTTTTTAATCATTACGTAAGATTTTAGTTTATCTAATTGATAATATCAATGGCAAAACAGTACTTCAAACTAAATCAAGAGAGGTGCAGGCATGGAGCTTCTGCGGGTATTGGTCCAAACTTTTAAAAACTTAGGTGAACTCTGGCCTGCAGGACACAGGAGAGTGGCGATTTGTGGGTGGACCCAGTACAAGGAGGTGCAGTGCTTTCCTGGAGCTATTTAAGAACTTTGGCAGACTCTGGGCGGCCTGAAGGACTCTGTGGTTTTTTTTTTGTTTTTGTTTTTTTTTTTTTTTTGTTTTTGAACCAGGCATTGAACCCAGGGCCTTGCACTTGCCATACTTGGAACTTTAAAAATGCCAAAATGGAGGAGCATATGACTATCTTAATTCTCCAGCCCACTGAGAACAAATCCAGGGGACAAACACATACAAGAACTTGGAAATCACACACCTGAAGTCTCTGAAACGATAGCAATTGAAGTAAAGAAACAACTATACCCAGCTATAGAAGAAATAAATCAGAAATAATCTCCCAGATCCAAAAAGAAAGTACAACAATCGT